TATTGAACAAGAAGTTGAAATCAGCGAAAAGGTAGCGACTCGTGATCCTGATTTGCAGTAAACAGATTTAATTGCTACAAACCCAACTCNGTAACCGGTATTGAACAAGAAGTTGAAATCAGCGAAAAGGTAGCGACTCGTGATCCTGATTTGCAGTAAACAGATTTAATTGCTACAAACCCAACTCATATTAAATGAGAACAGAGCAATCTAGCAGTTTGAGAAATTTCCCACTTAAAATTCAGAAACTCAGTAAAAGAAAAAGCACAAGAAAATATAAACCGAAGAATATAACAGNTCATATTAAATGAGAACAGAGCAATCTAGCAGTTTGAGAAATTTCCCACTTAAAATTTAGAAACTCAGTAAAAGAAAAAGCACAAGAAAATATAAACCGAAGAATATAACAGCTTTTGAAGGTAATGGGAGGGGGCCCCCGGGGGGGAACAAAGATGAAAAAAAGTACTGAAATCTAGGAGATGTGTACCTGAAATGAAGGACAATAGCAGCAGGGAAAGAGAGAGAATTGCTTTGGCCATTGTGAGGTAGTGTACTGTACTCTGTTGTGAAGAACTAAAGTGATGATTGTTGTGGGATTTGTGTGCAAATAGTGATTGTTGGGTTTCTGTGAGGAAAGGTGCTAGACTTTAAAGTGAGAGAAAAAGGCAGCTGAGAGCTAAGGCCAACGGCTATATTCACTGGTTAGCCGTTACATAGAACCTTTGAGGGGAAAAGGACAAAAAAAGGAGCTGATCATTTTTCTTTCTGTTTTACACATCAGTGGTTAAGTTGACTCAATCCAACTTTGGCCGAGCTTATTNTGAGAGAAAAAGGCAGCTGAGAGCTAAGGCCAACGGCTATATTCACTGGTTAGCCGTTACATAGAACCTTTGAGGGGAAAAGGACAAAAAAAGGAGCTGATTATTTTTCTTTCTGTTTTACACATCAGTGGTTAAGTTGACTCAATCCAACTTTGGCCGAGCTTATTCTCGATTTATTTTTCATGAATATATTAATTTTTATATAAATAATTTATTTTTAATTAGATCGAACGAAAGATTAATCGAAATACATATAAATTGACCTGGAGAGATTGACTGTTAGACCCCAAAAAAGAAAAGACAAGAAGAATAGTGCCATGTATAACAAAAAAGTTTATCAAANATTAATTTTTATATAAATAATTTATTTTTAATTAGATCGAACGAAAGATTAATCGAAATACATATAAATTGACCTGAAGAGATTGACTGTTAGACCCCAAAAAAGAAAAGACAAGAAGAATAGTGTCATGTATAACAAAAAAGTTTATCAAATTTTTTTTATCTCAAATGATGTGATATATTTAATGTGAAAGTTGACGAAATTCAGTGATTCAATTATTTATAATTTAATATAAACATTTAATACACTTTTCGATAAGTTCGGTGTATATTTACAAAACACTCCTGAATACATAACCTCATATGAAAAGCCCTTCGAACTACAAATGTGTTTTATAAGCACACTTTTTAAAAAAAAAAACATAGTTTCAATATATGATATATCTATTCATTTTTTAAAAAAATCATACATTTTTACACAAAATATTTGAGTTTAAACGTGTTTTAATATAATAAAGTGAACTTAAAACACAATGTTTTTTTTTTTTTGGGTAAGGAGCTTAAAACACAATGTAGTTAAAAAAAAAACTTAAAAAACAATAAAGTGGTAGTAAAGATAAAAATTGACCCCGACAAAGCTAAGGATTTGTGTGGACTATCTTCTCATTTTCTCTAGTGGCTTCTCAAATTTTTTTAGCTAACTTAAAGTTAAATCACTGTAATTTTGAAATCAGATTTTTTTTATTAGAGTATTCAGGATTGTGTCAACTACTCTATCGAGTTTAACAGTTAACCGTCATAACTTTAATTGAGTTAGAACATGTTTTTAAAAGAACACAAATAACTAGTTCNACAAAGCTAAGGATTTGTGTGGACTATCTTCTCATTTTCTCTAGTGGCTTCTCAAATTTTTTTAGCTAACTTAAAGTTAAATCACTGTAATTTTGAAATCAGATTTTTTTTATTAGAGTATTCAGGATTGTGTCAACTACTCTATCGAGTTTAACAGTTAACCGTCATAACTTTAATTGAGTTAGAACATGTTTTTAAAGGAACACAGATAACTAGTTTNTTCAGGATTGTGTCAACTACTCTATCGAGTTTAACAGTTAACCGTCATAACTTTAATTGAGTTAGAACATGTTTTTAAAAGAACACAAATAACTAGTTCTTGAAAAATGTAAGAAAGAATTGAACTTGAATTTTGAAATTAGATTCATTGTTTTGATCAGCAGTTCTAAATATAGACAGAAGAATTCCAAAAAAAAAAAAAAGGGAGAAAGAGAGATGTGTCTTTTAATAATGGTTTTTTACATTAATTATTAAATCAGTGAAAGTGTGTTTCATTATTGTTATCTTTGCAAAAGTGATCTATATGTGTCTTAGCATATAAATGATATATATTTATGCACGTGTATATGCTGCATAGGGGATCAAATTTGGAAGAATAGAATAATTCTGGATTAACAAAATTTAAAACAAACAATAGTTAAAAAAGACGAAAAATAAAAAATAAATAAAAGAAAGCACTGTAGAAAAGTTTTATCAAGCTACATCAAGTTCTGTGGGGCTTTCTTTGGAGGGGGTGTCCATGGGACAGACCGGGTCAAGCCCATGAAATTTTTTTTAGTTTTAGTTTGGATAGTGCGGGCCTAAACTTTTACTCAAGTGAGTTATTGGGTGGGGCGAACCGGCCTTCGGATAAGGGTAGACTACCTGCAAGTCTATTGGGCGGGCCTGCTTACGGGTTTTTTTATATACAATATNTTTATGCACGTGTATATGCTGCATAGGGGATCAAATTTGGAAGAATAGAATAATTCTGGATTAACAAAATTTAAAACAAACAATAGTTAAAAAAGACGAAAAATAAAAAATAAATAAAAGAAAGCACTGTAGAAAAGTTTTATCAAGCTACATCAAGTTCTGTGGGGCTTTCTTTGGAGGGGGTGTCCATGGGACAGACCGGGTCAAGCCCATGAAATTTTTTAGTTTTAGTTTGGATAGTGTGGGCCTAAACTTTTACTCAAGTGAGTTATTGGGTGGGGCGAACTGGCCTTCGGATAGGGGTAGACTACCTGCAAGTCTATTGGGCGGGCCTGCTTACGGGTTTTTTTATATACAATATTATTTATGTAAATTATATTTTTGAATCAAAAGTAGAGTCAAAATGAATAAAAATAAAAGAATGAATAATTTTATTTTTCATTTAAGAGATGAACTACATCGAATAGAATGAATACATCTCAACTAGGTTGACACCTACTCACTTGTCTATCATTTGCATTACTACACCTTTTAAAACGGGTATGCTTAATACATGGAAATGAAAATAATACATTATTTATAGTATCAAAATTTTTAAAATTTTAAATTTCGACATTAGGAGAATTATTTCAAAGTTTCAAATTTAATGGTCTAAAAGTATAACGTTTTTTCAAAGGAAAGGTGGGCGGTTGGGTGGGTTCTTGGGATGGGTAATGGGTTTAGAGACAAACTCAAGCCCTCTTTTTAAAGATATTAGGTTCGGGTATGAGACTAGTCAACTATCGAGCCTATCAAATTTCGAGCTAAGTAACATAACCCATGGATAACTCGGCTCCTGGACACCCCTAGGCTCTCTACCCCTCTCTGTCTTTCTCTCACACAAACACAAACACAAACAAAAACACACATTAATAGCAATAGTTAAAAAAGATTTTTAAAAAAAAACTAAACAAAAGCACTTAAGAAAAGAGTTATCAAACTGCATTAAATTCTAGTGGTCAAGTTTGTTCTTTTATAAGCAAGAAGTCTCAAGTTTAATACTTTTCACACCCCTTAAGGATCACCTACCCTTGTTCTTTAGGATCATGAGACATATTATTAAACTAGCTTAGGTTACGGTAGCNTTTTATAAGCAAGAAGTCTCAAGTTTAATACTTTTCACACCCCTTAAGGATCACCTATCCTTGTTCTTTAGGATCATGAGACATATTATTAAACTAGCTTAGGTTACGGTAGCCAACCTCAGAGTTCGAGGGAGTAGTCGATATAAGTTTAGTTCGAGGGAGTAGTCGACATAAGTTTAAATACCCTATAGCCTAGGACGGAACCAAATGGAGGTTCATAGCCCCCTAAAATTTTGAAAAATACCTTATACCTTTTTAGATTTTCAAAAACTTTATATCTCTCTTTAAGTTTTCAAATTTTTATTTATTTATTTATGGCATTTTATATACTATATTCAAATAAAATAAATGACATTTAATAACCAAATGGTGAATGTTAATTATACAAATAATCACTTTGATGACTAAAAAAGAAAGTTTATTTTTTATTTTTTTGGTAACGGGGAAAATTTATGATTTGTCCTCAACGAGTAGAGGCGCATACACCAATTAAATCAGAACTTGTACTTCGATAGAGATTTGAACCCACATTAAAAACTTGGACACAGTTCGTCCAAGCAACTAAGATTCGTCTCACCAACCAACCAACTAAATATTTTGTCGCCTAGAGGACTTGAATTCGAAAAGATAAAATCTTTACAAGATAATAAATTTAATTGAACTAAAGGCTGTTGGCAAAAAAAAAAAAAAAAGTTGTTCTATGAGAAACAATATATCGACCCGTGATTAGTTTGTCAAAAGTATCATGTGAACCTCATATTTAAGATAGTAATTTGTTCCTAATCACTACATCATGTCACCGGTAAGAATATAAGTGGGCCATGATATTGTCATATATTGATTTTTAAGTCCTGATGTGTCTTATAAATATTATGCTCTAAACTAATTTTCATATGTATAATACAAAAGTTAATTTTGATAAGTTTTACAACTAAAAATTTGATAATAGCATAACGAAAGAACTCATTTAAAAGAAAAAGGGGAGACACAAACATTCATTATGAGCAACACAGTTAGTTATTAAGTAGTTGGGCACATAATCCTCATTTTCTGCTTCCTGGGGGTGTCAGCAAATCACCAAATTCCTCTACTTCATACGCAGAGAAGGGTATGTCCTAATCAAACTAATTTTTTTGAAAAGAGTCAATCAATATTCCCATTAGATCTTAAAAAAATGCTTGGAGTTGGAGCAATTTCTACACCAATTTGGGTCTCATCACCCACCAGATCCAGTGCTTGGAGTTCATACCCCAGAATCTGTCATCCACAAAGACTTCAACCAAACCCGGTGGCACAAGTGAACAACTTCCATTCTCTCTCTTTCTTATCCACTTTCCCTCCCCATTTCTCTCTCCAGAATGATAGCACTCTTAATACCCATTTCTTGCTCATGCCTGCTGCTTCATCTTCTTCTGGTAAATTTTATTGTAATTTCTTTTTAAACCACTCAAATTATGTCCTTTCTTGCACATGAATGTGTTTTTTTTCCCCCAACTCTAAACACTTCAACTGCAAATGTTCTAAGAAATTGTCGTTTTTCAAGTCATTTTATAATTTCATTGTTCTCTTAATCTTCTTCTTCATTTCTCTGCCCAGGAAGTTTTCGTATTTAGAATTCTACCATAAANCTGCTGCTTCATCTTCTTCTGGTAAATTTTATTGTAATTTCTTTTTAAACCACTCAATTTATGTCCTTTCTTGCACATGAATGTGTTTTTTTTCCCCCAACTCTAAACACTTCAACTGCAAATGTTCTAAGAAATTGTCGATATTCAAGTCATTTTACAATTTCATTGTTCTCTTAATCTTCTTCTTCATTTCTCTGCCCAGGAAGTTTTCGTATTAATCTTCTTCTGCAAATGTTTNGCAAATGTTCTAAGAAATTGTCGTTTTTCAAGTCATTTTATAATTTCATTGTTCTCTTAATCTTCTTCTTCATTTCTCTGCCCAGGAAGTTTTCGTATTTAGAATTCTACCATAAATATATTAATTTTGTATATCAGTGAAACGAATAAATTTGAAAATTGAAGATTAAGTTTTGTTCATTGGCGGTAATTGGAAGTTTTTGACTGTTATATTCGCTTAGGATGGCTGATAATCAGGAATGTAGGAGTAGGACCCAACCAGTGGAGTGGTTGCTTAATCCCATATTTGTCACTGGATTAAAACACATAGTCAATGTGTACATTTTTTTTTTCTTATTTTGGGGAGATGGGGAGGGGATGATTTTTTTTTAGTCAATATGTACATAGTTGGCCTAATTTGGTCCAAGTTCCATGTATGAGTTCAGTTGCAAATAAGTTTTACAAAGATCATAGTTTGGCCTGGCAATAGTGTATGTCTAATTCAATTTTTTAATCCAGCTTTTAGTAGAAGTCTGTTGATCTGCTAGAAATTGGAGAAAGCTAATGATATTGACCAATCCTGTTTGATGGTCTGGGTTAGATGGAGTACTACGAATCCTAGCAATTTTGAGAAATATAGTTTAAATAAATGTATGACATATGAGGTATTGAATTGGTCCTTGCATAGTATGAAATTTTGTAATTTTCAGTACCAATGTTGTAAATCTGACCTCTTTGTTATTTTGCATTCACATCTATAGTTGGTAATACTGAATACACAGAGGAACCAGCTACAAATGTGAAATTTCAGACATCGTTGAGCCTTCCGGGGTGCTTGAGTTCATTATTTTTGCTTGGAACTGGTCAGTTGCTGTGGTATCAAGAGTTTTTTATTTAAGAAAAAAATAGCCATAATTTTAGTTGGTTTAATGGATTGTGGTTACATTTGTGCTAATTCTTTCTCTATAACTTCTATTGTCTGCTATGATTTCAGGATACAGGGAGAAAGTTTTTGCAATAATCGGTGTTAAGGTCTATGCTGCAGGACTATATGTGAGCCCATCGATTTTTGACAAAATAGATGCCTGGAAAGGGCGATCGGCTGCAGAGTTGCAAGAGGATTCATCTCTGTTTGCCTCAATTTTTCAGGGTATTATGATCTAACTGTGACTAGAGAGAGAAAGAGAGAGAGTAATTAACCAGTTGAGAATGCTAATTATATCTTTATGAAGTGCAGCTCCTGTAGAGAAATCACTACATATTGTTCTGGTAAGAGATGTTGATGGAAAAACTTTCTGGGATGCTTTAGATGAAGCCATCTCCCCAAGAATCAATGCACCCACTCCGGTTGATGAATCTGCTCTTGCCACATTTCGTGGCATCTTTGAAGGGCGGTCTCTTAAGAAAGGAACTTTCATTTTTTTGACTTGGCTGGACTCAACCAAAATGCTTGTAAGTTTAGTGTTACTACTCATACTGCATTCTTCCTATTTGTTCATCTTGATGCAGTGGTTTGTCCCTTCCCACAAACAACCAACAAATAAAAAAATTCTTTCTTCCCTTTTCTTCTATTACAAAAAATTTCTTTTTTTGTGGATGTATTGAAGTGGATTCTTGCTTGGTAACTTTCAGGTTTGTGTATCATCCGATGGGATGCCTTCTCGTGTGGATGCTACGATTGAGTCACCCAATGTAACATCGGCTCTCTTTGATGTTTTTTTTGGAGGTGTTCCAGTTTCTCCTACCTTGAAAGCTTCAGTTGCCAATGGATTGGCCAAAGCCCTCAAATAAATTCCACAAAAGGCTATTAGTTCCTCTTTTTGTTCCTGAATATTTCTGGTTCAATCATTCACAGACTTACTTCATCAATTATGTACTGTAATAAAGATAATATATGACAAGCACTTTTGCTATTAAGCAGAGATCAAGATTCTAATTACAGTTCATCTGGTTTTATCTGCTCAAGCATCTTTAGAACCTCTGCCATGGTAGGCCTTTTGGATGGCTCTGGCTCGAGGCACATCAACGCAATACCAAATACATGGTTAATTTCATCAACTGGAAAACTTTCTAAGCTGTTATCAAGTACATACGCTCCTCTCTTGTCTTGAACCACTGCTTTCACCTGCTCAGTAATAATAGCAAAAATTAGAACACATTTAAATTATAGACCCCCTTAAAGATAAAATATTGTGGGTAAAATCATGAAAGGCGAGGCCACTGCTCTGGTTTGATCAAATAAAACCATCCGACCAACAAATTTCGACCCATTACTCTTGGACATTGGAATATTTAGTAAATTTAGAAACTTACCCATGTCACAAGCTTGGTTCCCTCCTCGATAAATGCTTCATCCGTTGGCTTCTTCCCTGTTAGAAGCTCAAGTAAAACAACACCAAAGCTGTAAACATCCCCTTTTGCTGTTGCTCTTCCTGTGTCAAAATATTCTGCAGAAGAGCATTACTAATGAAGGTTAGTACAGAGAAACGGTTGAGCGGAAGACTATCTCTGTTTCAATGCACCATACCGGGAGCTAAGTATCCAAAAGTTCCAGCAACTAGTGTTGAAACATGTGTCTTATCTGGTTCAATCAATGTGGCTAATCCGAAATCAGAAACTTGAGCCTCCATATTTTGATCCAGAAGTATATTGCTTGACTTGATATCTCTATGGATTATGTGAGGGATGCAGTCATGATGAAGGTATGATAATCCCCGCGCAGCACCTATGGCTATTTTGTATCTTGAAGGCCAATCCAAAACCATCTTGTTCATCGATCTTCCTGCATCATAAGATCTGGTCTTAAAATGCCAAATGTGGATATCAAACTGAAATGGCATAAATTCAGACACTCATTTCATTGGTCATCCATTTCAGAGGTCCAAAATATCAAAGTTGTTAAAAGCATTCAATGTTAAATGATAAAAACTAAAGAATTTCCATCTGATACTATCGTAGGAATAGCAATTGAGTTAAGGTGCATGAATTATCGAATAAAAATCCTTTTATACATAGCAGCAAATGCATACCATGGAGCAGTGCATCCAAGCTTCCATTAGGCATCAGCTCGTATATTAGAAGATTGTAGTGAGGGGAAGAGTAATATCCATGAAGAGTAACGATATTCCGATGCTTTATGTCTCCCATTGCCTCCAACTCTCTCTCAAAACCTCGATCTTGCTCTGCACTTATCCTATTCAGTCTCTTCACTGCAAAGGATGTGGAATCATTTATCATCAATCTATAAACTGTACCATAGCCTCCGGATCCAATAATGTCCTTGTTGCTCAGTTTCATCGTCTTCTTCAAAAGCATATTAGATTTCAAGGATTTCATCTTTGGTGATCTAAACATCACCAGTTTCCCACCTATGTTTAGATATCAAAGAAGATTAGCATATTTCTCCGTCTGAGAAAAACTTTTTTTTTTTTTTTTGTAAAAGAATGAAAGACTATACCTGAGAAACTGTCTTGAACAACCATATGCCTTCTTTGCCATCGTCGATAGCAGAGAACTGCTATGATAATCTTCGAGGTGACAAAAGCGAGCACGCATATTGTGATGTATAAAGCTAGAATCCGAACATTGCCCATTTAGTTCTACAAGTCGAGATGGCCCAAAACGAACTCAAACAACTAATGGTGAGAAGGAAACAGTTTTAGAACTTTTGCATTACATACTCTGGAGTTGATCTTCAAGCCTGTTTCGATCCCAAAAGGCATGGTCAATCCTGTTATCCAGATGAGTACAATGATAAACAAGGTTCTGCAAATTTTCACAACTATTTATTCGGAAAACCAGGAAGTTTCAAGGCACTACCTTTTTGAAATCTCTTTTAGATATGAATTGCTTGAAGGGTATTGAGATTGAATTAAAGCTGAGTCACAAACTTAAAAGAGATCCAACAACTTCATTGCTAACTTTTCACAGTAAGTTATCAAGCACATACACCACAAAATATCTTCAACCCAAGAAAACTAATCATCTGAACTAGCAATCTAAGCAAATTTAAGCTACATATATAAGAAAAAATCTCTTCAAAATTTGAAGTATCATTAACTAAATGTGACTGCTAGAAGAAAAAAGCAATGGGTTCTTTACCAGAGAGAAATGTATGAGGCTTTTCAAAACACCCAGGTGTATGAAAGAGTTATTGTACATGGAAACTCCAGTTTGCTCAAAGATGATGAAGGTTAAAGCTTGGTGCATGAACAAGATGAGATTGCCCAATGAAGAAGATCTGTTCAGGTATAAGTAGCATTCTTTTTTCCAAGTGTATGGGTGCTATTTGATCAATGATGCTTTGACAAATTGACATCTTTAAGTTGAAACTGAACATTAAAACGTACCAACAAGCCTGGCTGCCCACATTTGTTGACATTGAATCACTTTATGAACTCATTAATGATGTACTTTGCAAGGTGACAAATATACAGTATATGGGAATAGGGATGGAACTTGTGATAAAAGTGTTTGAACTCTGGGTAGCTGCCCTCGTTTTAGGAGAAGTGTATGGTATCAGGAATAAAAAAGGAATATCATTACAAAATTAGTAATTTTTTTTACAATTTTTGAAAATCATTTATAATTCTTATGGTAACTTACCATCAATTACAAAAATGATAACTTGACCGAAAAAAATTATAACTCAAACATTAAAAATTACAAGGTGAAAAAAAAGAATAATAATAAGACGGGCCAAAAAGTTGTAACCCTTTTTTTTTTGTAAATAAACCAAAAAACTTGTTTTAAAATTCATAAAAGTTATCAAATTTAGAGATATGGTACCAAATTTTTTATTGTTTTTTTTTTATATGGTAGTCTTCTCCCTAGTTTTATGAAAGGAAAGTGACCGATTAGGATGGCTCAGTGAGTCTGGCTCTGCACCACTCAGGATGTAGCAAACGAATCCATGGAAATGTTTGTTTTGACTAAGAAAACCCCACAAAAAATGCCTAGGTGAGCTTGTGGCCCTAGTGTACTTTTGGAAAGAAAAAAAAAACCTGTGACTTTCTTTTTTGTTTTTTAGGTATTAGACGATATTCGAACTTAATCATAAGATCTAAGAGCGAGAACACGGGCAATTAAGCCAACTCTAAACTCCCTTAACTAAAAAGAAATGAAATTAAGATTAATTAGCATTCAACATGAATTAAAATAATACAAAATGATCCAATTGGCATGTGATTCATATGACAGGTAGCCCCAGCAAACTACTCCGTCTGAAGCAAATGTCTAATTATGGTATGACACTATAAATTAACAATAACATTACTTGTTCTTAATTTAAAAAAATGGAAAAATTATTAATAATTATTACTTTTTTTTCAATAAACATCCGTTAAATTCTATCATTTTTTGTTTTATATCAATAAAGTTTTATTTTAATTTCAGTTAAGTCTCAGTTCTATTATATTTCAATTTTATCATTATCCTTTAGTTACCAAAATTTTGTCATTCTTTTATATTCTTACGTCAATTCAACAACACACTCTTGGGGCATTTCAATTGCNGTTTTATATCAATAAAGTTTTATTTTAATTTCAGTTAAGTCTCAGTTCTATTATATTCCAATTTTATCATTATCCTTTAGTTACCAAAATTCTTTCATTCTTTTATATTCTTACGTCAATTCAACAACACACTCGGGGCATTTCAATTGGTAGGTGACTTTGCATTCTTTTTAGTATGTCAACTTCGGTGGCACACCTTAGGCTTTTCAATTGTTATATGATGTGTTTTCTTCATCACGATAAGTTAATTTTTACTTCGATTAAGGTAATATTATTATATTATAGATTCTATTGATATATTATCTGTTTGGTTTTAAATTATTCTACTAATTTATATTGGTATTAACATGATTAAGTTAGAGATTTATTTTAGTTGTTATGTTTGAATTAAAAATGACATTAAAGTGGAATTAATCGACAAATAGTATCGATATAATTTTTTTAACCTTTTCTTCTTTTATTAAATAATTGATAAATATTGTCTCGAGTTTTAACATTTAATACTCTAATGAAATAAGAAAATGTGGGCTTTCTTTAGGTCATGCCACGAAGTTTATGCTAGGTAAATTTTTTTATGGGTTTCAATGTTAACTTTGTAAGCAATGATTTTTTGTCCTTTTAATTGATTCTAAGAATGTAAAAGAATATAAAGGTTTTGGTAACTAGAAGGTAAGAATAAAATTGGAATATAATAGAATTTAGAATTTAATTGAAATAAAATATCAATAATGGGATTTCATTAATATAAAACAAAAATGATAGAACTTAATGGATGTTTTGTGTGAAAAAATAATACTTATCGGAAATTTTTCCTTTAAAGATTTAAATATTATGATGATTAGATTGATGACAGACTTGATCAATACTAAGACTTATTGCTAATTTAATAGTCACAAGAGCCCATTTCCAAAAGAGTAATGTTATTACCACCGAGTTAGATTGTCTGAGGGGATACCAGCGAACTTCTTATTGTGAGGTTGAGGTTAGAGGTTTAAGTCTTGGAGTTCACATTAGGGTTCGGTAGTTGAACGCTATACTAGCCTAACTAACTTTATTTTCGATAAGAGTAACGGATACGGTCAAAAGTCTCATGATCCCGTCAACGAGAATCTATTGGGGTTGTCACTAGACACTCTCTTTTGTCTTCACCCCTTTAAAAAAAGAAAGAAAGAGTAGTATAATTGTGACCTAATTTGTTGACNGAATAAAATTGGAATATAATAGAATTTAGAATTTAATTGAAATAAAATATCAATAATAGGATTTCATTAATATAAAACAAAAATGATAGAACTTAATGGATGTTTTGTGTGAAAAAATAATACTTATCGAAAATTTTTCCTTTAAAGATTTAAGTATTATGATGATTAGATTGATGACAGACTTGGTCAATACTAAGACTTATTGCTAATTTAATAGTCACAAGAGCCCATTTCCAAAAGAGTAATGTTATTACCACCAAGTTAGATTGTCTGAGGGGATACCAGCGAACTTCTTATTGTGAGGTTGAGGTTAGAGGTTAGAGGTTTAAGTCTTGGAGTTCACATTAGGGTTCGGTAGTTGAACGCTATACTAGCCTAACTAATTTCATTTTCGATAAGAGTAACGGATACGGTCAAAAGTCTCATGATCCCGTCAACGAGAATCTATTAGGGTTGTCACTAGACACTCTCTTTTGTCTTCACCCTTTTAAAAAAAAAAAAGAAAAAATAGTATAATTGTGACCTAATTTGTTGACTTAATTTATCATGACTTTTAGGTTGACTTTGAGTTTCATCAAATGTTAAAACTTGACATCGATCCAACCGTTACAATATAACCCATTTTATTATGTCAACAAAGTAAATTAATATTTATTTATTTTTTTTGTACTGTCCAGTGTTTAGCCATTAATGCCCTATTCTGTGGATCCAATTTTGAGTTGGATCAGTGAGTTCCCTGATTCAGATGACCGAGTTGTGGCCGAAAAGAAAGGTGGTGTGTATGAAAGCTACGACAAAAAATCAAACAGCTATCTAAAAAGAAAGGTCGGTGAATGTGATCAAAAAATGAAGCACGTGAAAGTTTGGGTGTCTCCATCTAATTGTGTACCACCTGTCCTTTGTACCGACAACGCCAAAACATAAAAAAAAATTCAGAAAATAGTAAATAAATCAAAATAAAAGTGATAAATTACCCGCAAAATGTTATAAAATGATCTAGACAAATTGTAAAAATATTTATTAATATAATAAAATTTAAAAGTACGGTACTAATTTTTTTTGTTTTTTTGGGTGACCTAATTTATATATGGCAGTTGAGGAATTTATAAAACCAACGAGTCTTGCCGTTTCAGGAAAAAAAACGTACGTACAGCTGTGAAATAATGAAAATCTGAGGATTTTGGGTTGTGTTCCTCACCTGAAGTATCTGAACACAAAATGAATCATGTGAAACTAAAAGATATTCCTTTGTTGCCTTTTCTAGTGCTGAACAAATGGCTAATCTTGCATGAATCACAAGTCAGCAGTTGCATACTACCAACAATTCACCAACATTTAGATAGTGTTTATCTGGTTGTAACATGAATTATTTATCTGCTTTTTATACCATGATATGTAGGAAATTGTGATTGGTGATGCAAAAATAAAAAAATTGGTTAATCAGAGAAAATCGAATTGCCTATTACTCATTAATGGCCTGCAACACAAGCAAGTAGATCAAGTTTGCATTAGTAGAGTGTTGATAACGACTCTCCAATGTTTAAATTAGCAAAAGAGCGCATTTGAGTCATAATTAGATGAGATAGCAAGACTCTATAGTCTGAACAAGAAGATTTATATATTTTTTTTTCTCAAGAGGTACTTATACATTATAAGTATATGATCAAGAAGACAGGCAAAGCCACATCTAGAAATCAAATCCAAGTAAGAGCCTCAGGGGTAAGAGATGTGAATGTTTAAATTCATAAGCTCAACCAAACAAGCTTGCAACTTTCCTCTGTCAATTTACACATCCATGGGGAAAGGAATTCGAACCTGGGTTGGTCATGTCGTCTCATGTGACTCTTTATCATGACGGGAAGTCTCCAATGCGAACCACCAATAAACTAGACATGCCAGTAACTGCAAATCACCTATCTTTTAAGCATCATAAATTCATTCTAGACAGGATATTGTGCACATAAAAGTGCCATTATGGACTGAGCATGACCAAGACATTGATCGATATAAGGTCTGCAGCGTAAACGTGTATCCTAAACCAAGCATGCACGAAAACAAGTCTGCGCCAACCTACAGCCCCTCACAAGCCCTAGGTTTCGTAGTTATAGTTGATTAGTTAGACCAGAATGAGAGAACAGTCTATGTGCACAGAGCAATCAGGCAGAAGCATTACATCAAAATTCTGGTGCTCTGGTCCAGTTTAAGACAATATCGAAAAATGTAACAAAAGGTTAGTTCAATATGAATAACCAAAATTGAAAGGGATGATGGCTTAACATCAATTCACTGTATCAATTGATAGGCACTCGGGATTTACAAGATGGAACCTATGAGAGTTATAATCAGAACTATATCTACGAATCCCTCCCCCCAGTCTTCTTATTCCTCTCTCCCAAACACA